GCGATCTGCCTCTGTTTTGCCGCGTCGACTGACCTCTGAGAGCCTGTCTGTGCTAGTGTGGGGACTGTCAATGAGCACCACACCACCCCGGGTGAAGGCCATCTCACCGCAGCCGCCGACCCACCGCGCCGGCCACCCATTCATAAAACACCCTCCTCCGGCGGCCGGGAGCGGCGCGCGGTACCGTCCGACGCCTCCGGACGCAGCCTCCTCCGCGGAATTCCTCCTCCAGATAGTGATTACCGGCGGCGAACGGCCGGCCGGTTACAACACCCCGACATACTTGTCCTGTTTGAGCGGCGGCGGCGGCGCGGCGGTTGCCCGAACTGCCCCAGTGTGGCCGGCAAGGCCGACAGTGAGCAGACAAAGCGAGCCGCTGCGGCCGCCCCCCGCCGGCTGCCGGAGAGGTACCGCTAATATCTGGGGTCGTCCCGCCGCCGGCGACCTGGGCCGGCACGCTGCAAGAGCGATGTTTACGGCTTCCGGCGGCGGGATGGGGCGGGCCGGGATGCTGCACGGCCTCCTGTGCCGGCGGCGCCGCTGCAGAAGCGGCCACCGGCACGCCGAGGAAGCTCGTTCCTCTCGGCCGACGACCATTACACGGCCACAGAAAACAGCCGATCTAATCTTGCAGAACAACTAACAACAGCATGACGCGCGGCTAGGAGCTGGCGCCGTGGCACTTCGGACCGGCCGTGAGCCGGCCGCTGGCTCCCGCAGCTCTCGGCTTCCTTTGTTGCAGAGGACGCGCACGAGCAAAAACGGACGCACGGGGCGGAGCCAGGTGGCTCTGGATGCCACATGCGCCGGTCGACTGACACAAAACATGAGTAATTACTGCGCACGGCGGCACGTCATCGCTGCATGGGTACGCCGCCGCCGCTGCCGGTCTGATGGATTGAGCGCCAGTCATCATGTTGGAGATAATGCAGTCATCACTCGGCCCGCAGAGCACGCTAAGACAATAGACATTAGCCTCCCGTGACGCCGGCGAGGTGCCTGTGATGGGCCGGTCGTGGGCCAAAGATAGACTGCAGTGCGCCCCGACAGAGCTGCCTGGTATTGCACATATCAGAACGGGGGCGGCCTGTTGCTAGGGCGGTGGAGAGATGGAGGTGCCGTATGTTATTCACGAATTCACGTACTTATTACTTAAAGAAATACGCATGCAGAACATACATTGCTGGCTGCTAATTGTTAAACGTCCATGTCTATTCATTTACGATTAGCATCTTAAAATTGTCATCGCTCTTAGCTTGATTTACCGATAATCAGCTTAACGGCAGCAACGAGCAATATCAAGAACCATTAAACGGTGATAAGCAGAACGCATGACGATGACGCTATGCATATTGCCGCACTGGGCCTTCCCTTTCCCTGCGCCTTGACGTTGCTGAAGAATGCGTCCTCGAGGCAGAATTCCATACCGTCCTCTCTAATGCTACTTTAACGATACTCTAAATGCATCAACAATGCTCATTCTCCCCGAGCTGAGCTGTTTTTGCTGTTCAGGATTATGACTGAATTCGGACCAACATTAAACGCCTATTTGGTGGGCAGGAATGCACTAGGGCTGCTCTAATTTCTGGCTCTAACCCTAGCGTACACGACTTGCCGTTTTTAATGGGGCTAGGCATCACCCCCAGATGAAAAATATTGATGCCCACCGGTCACCACCAGTCTAGGTGCGCCTGCGGCTCTTGAGTCGCGCGCCATCCGCCTCTCGAAGTCCCTCCACTTCAGCCATGTCGTAACCCCAACCCTAACGACCCAACTACCAATTAATGTCTCTGCCCACGCAGTCCGCAAATTCCACGGTGACCATTGACGATTAGTGTACTCCGCGTGCCACCTGTCTGTAGGTACTTTTGAGGCCGGATCGGTACCGTTCTCGGACGCGTCTCGGAGCCCACAGGGTAATAGTTTCGAAGGAGTAAGTCGTGTGCTGGTGAGACGGGCGGTATGGACCAGAAGGCTTCCCCGAAACCGGCGCGGTATTGACTATTCTCCGGGTTAACTGCCTAGTTTATCGCTATGGACAGACGTTCCGCATATAATGCGGTCATTCTCAATCTCGCTCCATGGTGCATAAAACGGTGTAGTGTGAGCGGGCTTCCTTGCATGCGACTGTTCCCAGACCGCAGTGGTGTGAAGTTGCATCATATGAACGGATCCTGAGAGATTATATGTTATACTGGCCGGCATCGTGTGCAGTGTGAACGGCTGGCGTGCTTGGAGCTCAGAGAGTACATTTAGTTTGCGACGTTATTTTTTACGAATAAATCGACATTCGCGCTTGAACATATTTCTGTAACTCAAGTTTACCTATTCAAATAATAAAACATGCATGTTAACTTCCCATGTCAAATACTATGCAGAATGATTCTCCCAAATGTCAGACGGCTCTTATGATGGACCGTATACACAAAAACGTCCTTGCATGTTTTACCAAAACTATCGTAGTTAGTGTTCACTTACGTGGCATCAAAACACCCGTGATTCGTGAATGCATCATCGGAGCAACAAACTCTTTTCAGGAAGGTTTCCAGCAAATTAGGTGAGCGCCTCCTTGTTCATTTTGTTTTCTGCTCTGCGCAATTTATCATCACGTGTCAGAATCACGCAAGCTGCGGCGGGCGAGGGCATAATGCCTCCCTCGCACCTGTATCTCAGCTCATGTGCGATAACATGAAAAATCATTCCACGTTAAACGCACTTCAAGGCTAATCTTGAAGATATGGAATATCTAATCGCATTTTCGAATTTGCTTTACCTAAGATGACTTTTTCTTGAAACAATATAAAATATTCCATTCTACCTAACTGCGATTTCTTTTATCACAAAAGTAGCAATGGTCACCGTTCATTTCTCTCTCTTCACATTGCTTCCCCTCCCCCATTCCCCCACATTCCAACCTCACCTGTCGCCCATTTCGCCAACCCTCTCCCTCCCCTCCCCACTCTCTCGTCCAGCCAAATCGGTACCACGGTCCACTCAAATCAGTCCACCCGGAGACCGCGTCTCAAGGTGAGGCGCCCGGCGCCGTATCAATTAAACCATGTTTATTTGACGTTTACGGCGGTCCGTGGGCACCCCTCGGCTAAGACGGGGTGAAAACGACCCGGAGAATTCGTTTCGCGCGGCGGGGGTCTTGAGCCGCTCTCTCGAGTCGCCGTCTGAGATTGACGCCGCTGTCACAGCACCATTATGGACGGGTGAGAGGTGAGCTTGGAAGGGGTGAGAGGGGATGAGGTGGTACGGCCCAGAGGACCAGAGGATCTTAGCGGAACTGCGAGTGATTCTCGGTACAGCGGAAGTTCCTACACGATGTGGAAATGTACGCTCGCTGAGATGAAATGAGTGCAGTATATCACTCTGTACATTTGGCAGAAATGGCTTCGGAGAGGAAGAGATAGGTTCTTGTTACGGGTTAGACTTGGAACGAATAGGCAATGTTCATTGAATGGGATGAGTCATGGGAAGGTTGATGGTAAAATTTGAAACCGTCACTCTTTTTCATCATAAACAAAGGCACGATTGTGAATTAAATACTCTGTGCACTGTGCGAGAGAACGTGCATTTCTTTCTGAACATGAAATAAATGAAGAAAAAAGAAAAAGACCAAAATAATTATGCATTACACACGAGACGACAGATAGTTGTTCCGTCATAATAAAATGCATTTTTACTCAGGAAACAAAAACAGAAATAAAGATGGAATAACGCCATTTCATAGCAATAATTGCAGCCAACCAATCAAATGAAGCCCAATGTAACAAACTGTCTTGCAAAATGATAATTTTATGTCTCTAAATTGCCAAATGAGAACGAAAAAAAAAATCATCGGCACACGGCGTGTGTGTAATGTGTATGTGCGTCGACGAGGTCTCCAACGCCAAGTGTGCCCCGAGGCCATTAGGTCGAAGTCAGGTGTCCCCATTCGACTGGTGGTGGTATCATCTCTGAAGGCCGCGCGTATGGCGCCGAATCCATTGACAGTGAACAGATAAAGGCCAAGGTCCTCACATGACGGACAGGAAAGCCGACTAGTCTTCACACAATGTAAAGTCAGGTGTAAAATGACGCCACTTGAAGTGGAATCCGCGGGGAGGGTATCGATTAATCACGTTTTTTTTTAGCAACTCATGACACTGGGAGTCTAATGTTTATGTGGAAAGCATATTGTGGAGCTTTTTGTTCCACAGGCATCTGAATTGGAAAAGAAACCGCCATGACAATAACAAATAATTTAAATAAATCCGCAAGCTCATATCATGCCCTCTGCAGACGAACTTGAATGCAAGCTTGGTGCAGTTTCACGGTGCCCTGTCCATCTGTGCCGCCCAGAAAATGGGTCGATAGATAATTGAAACCATTCTGAGCAAAGCTAGCCAGGTTTAATATCATGCAAGAACAATAGAAAGTAAAACAAAATTAGACATTCAAAAAGTCTTTTCGATAAACAACTAGCTCTGACCTGGTCGCCTCCTTGAATAAGAAACTGCAGCATCAACAAAGGCATTGCAAGTGTAGCCCGCCTATATCGCTGAAATGCTCACAAGTGTAGCGACCGTATCGTTGTTTGTCGCTAGGGCGAGTGTTGGTGCACGCTCTAGTGGCCTAGGTCAGAACGTTCGGGCACAGCTTGGCCAAGCGGTCCTTTGTTGACAGGTTTTCTCCCTGCGGGCGCATAGTTCCAAGCCGAGGCACGCGCTCAGCCGTCCATTGTCAGAGCAGTTTGGCACCTAACCTGTTTTCTGTCCGTCGGTCATTTCCCCTCAATTCTGGGTCCACGTGCCGGACAATGACCATGGCCAGGGGGGAGGAGGGTGGGGGGTCGGGGGCACCCCTACGAGCTCCGCCACCCTTATCTGCCGCCGCCCTGGCAGTGCAAGGCGAACGTGAACCCCGCGGCAAACAATGATGTCGCGGCCCGCGGAGTCACCTGGTCCAGGCGTGACCTGGCCTCCTATAAAGCGCGCAGGCGGGCTGCTACCGGTACCATTGACTGATTGGTTCCCCTCTGCAAGGTTCTCCAGCAGGACTCAGGTAGGCCGGCTGGGCGGATTTGGGTACAGTGAAGTCAATATCATTGATTTTTCGCAGAGTGCAGCGTTCACCAAAGCATTTGTCAGGTCACACATTTTTATGAACATTGCTTTTAACAAAAATAATATTATCTATTATGAAGGCTTGTCTTCAATCCGCTGCAAATTTACAACAAAAACTTTTTAAACTGAAGCGAGTGACGAAAATAACGTCTCTCATGTACCATGATGCCGTTTTACTAAAAATATAACTCATCATATCACTGCTATTCCAATCCCATTGAATCAACATTAAAATCCTGATCTCACTCACACTATTTACAGCCGAATCCAAGGCCCGACGTAGTCGTTCTCCGGCAGCTAACGCTGTTTTTAGTGACGCGCCGCCACCGACCTGGCTTAACCGTCCATTAGTAAGTGGCTGCGAGCTGATGGCCGTTTAAGCCGCCGTGATGTGGTCGATCCCGCTAATCCTGTTGGTCACAGCCGCCGGATTAACCATGTACCAACTACCGACGCAACCGTGTTTTGCTCCGTTTTTCCTTGCCCCAGCTGCACTGGGAATGCCTGGTTCAACTTATCTGCATTCTAAGGCTGGAAGCTATGGCGCCTGTAATTAATTTCCGGCCCAATTTTGCATCGCCGATAAATCTGCAGCTTATATCGGAGTGACTGACAAACATCGACTAGCAGATCTCTCGGCGTGGCCTGCACGCCTTCCCCAAACAGCCACCACTTATCTTGTTTGTGCAACGCACTGCAAATGGGCGCATAACTCACGGTGCATTTACGTTAACATGTCAATTGGTAAGACACGCAACGTTCAACTCCACTTCGGTACACTCAGTTCTCCCAGGCTTTTCACACGAGCTGGTACGGTGTCCAATACCATAAGTTAATGCTTTTAGAATACCATTGAAAAGGAAGGACGGTGTCAGGCAGGATCCTGAGGTCTTCTTCTCCATCTCGCAGGGGCGTCGCCACGGATTTTTGACTGGGGGGGACGGATTGGCTGACTAAAAACCCAAAAGTTAGTTACCGTACAATTTCAGGCCTATGCATTACTTATAACGCATACTCATACACAATACACATGTTCTCATGTTCCCACGTGGAGGCGTTATTAGTCACACTCTTTTCTATCTGTGCATGAATTGGCGGCGCGAAGCGCCGCGAAAATTGGCAAAAACTCTTGGCAAAACAGTCCCAAAACGCATAAATTTTGCATCCCGAGTAATAAGTTTGATACCAGGACAGTTAGGATCTGGTCACCAAGTCCAGCAGCCCTGCCTCTAAAAAATCGTGTGGTCCTCTGTCAACCATAGGTACAGCTTATTTCCAAGAAGTTGGAAACTCTGTGCAGTGTAGCTGCAGGACTGCGGGATCGGAGTCGACTTCGGTCGTAGTCGACAGTTTTGGTCGGATACGGAGTTGGAGTCACCAAAGTCGTAACAGACTTCAACTCTGAAGTCACAGTCAACGTCATCCCCGAGGATGGGTCGGATAAGAGCTGGAGATTCTGTTGGCTGTGGTGATTGAAGGCCGGGTCATGGTAAGACCAATGTAGGACCATACTGAGTATTACATCCTCCTGGGCTCTCTCAGACCAGGACGAGGTCCTCTCACCCTCAAGCATCAAGCGTTCAAAGGCCATGGTGAGACCTTCTGCTGTCGGATGGCCTTGAACGGGAAGAGGGCCGTTTGAGAGTGAGCTGAAGGTCTTGACTATTACGAATATCCTACATAAAATGTGTGGTCTTTGCAAGCTGTTGTCCCACTCTGAGACTTTGGGACAGATCTTCAGCCCTTGTTGAATATGGTCGCCCCTACAACTGCAGCTTTGGCTCTCTATCGAGGACCTGGGACGGACAGTCCAGAGCTGCACCTCGTAGGTAATGTTATCTTTTAACGTGCCAAGAAATGTTCAAGGAGACAAAAGCATCACATCACATGTTTTTCACTCCGATGCGGGCCGAGGGATATCGTGATCGGAGATGGGGTGGGGACTCCGAGCGATTTTTAAAAGCCGGAGTCAGAGTTACCAAAATCAATCTACTCCGCAGCCCTGCAAGCAAGGGTACAGTGTCAGCAATTCGCATGGTTCAATTTGTATACGAGTACCTAGGTATCCGCAATTTCATCCCAAAACGACAATACACCAATTTCGTTGATCACTTTTTTAATCATTCATGAGGATATTTTTTGCGGGGGACGTCCCCCCCGGATTCCTCGACTGGGGGGGACGCGTCCCCCCCGTCCCCCCCGGTTTCGACGCCCATGCCATCTCGCATTAAATATCTTTCTTTTTTCCCCAGGTATGCGACGAGAGATGGCGACACGCTTCTTCTGGACTGCTCTCTGGTTGCTGTGTACGCTGTCTTCGCTGGCCCACATCAGCCTCGGAGCTCCGGCCGAGGTTAAGATCCTCAACCCTCTGAACGAGCTGCCACCTGAAGTCTCTCCCGCCGTGCTCAAAGAAATCGAAGACGCCTTCCGCAAGGGTAGCACCATGCAGAACATCCTGGAGATGCTGCAGTCCTCTGGAGATGAAGTTGACATGCGTGAGCTCTCCAAGGCCATTGTGTCTCACATTTTGTCTGCGAGAGGACAACAAGGTTCCGAATCAGGCCAAGTGGACAACTCACTCCAAGGCGATCTCTTCTTGGCGGCAGGGGACGAGTCTCCCGGGATTGTAGACTTCGGAGATCAGGATTTCAATATCTTTACTGATACAGTTGTCACAGTTGCTCCTCTAACCACCAGAGCTGAGAGGCAGACGACGTCCATAGGTGCAGCTTCCACGCAAGGTGGTGCTACTGTGGCAGCCATCCCGGCAACTTCAGTTGGTGCGAGAGAATCGGACGCCACCGCCGCGACGATAAGGTGGTTGGACGCCAGCAAAAAGAATGATTATTCCAGCAGCACGCCAATGCCAAAGAAAGAAGACACAAGAGAGCAGGTGACAGACTCTCCAATTTTGCCGAATGCTTCACTTGTTGCTGCTATTGAAGGGGAAGAAACCAAGCAGGAGGCAGAGGTTGCAGAGGAAACAAGCGGCTATCAGGCACCGCCAGAAGTGATTATAGAAAACGGAAGCGCGACTTCTACGAAGGAAGAGTCCACAACGGAGCCCGGACTTTCTGACTCGACACAGGGAGTCAATACTGGTGATGTTGTTATAGAACCTGTGCTACCCTCACAAAGCAATGGAACTGAAGACTCAGAAGACGCAGAGACATTTGAACACCAAGAACAAGAAGTAATTGTCACAGTTGGGGCAGCTCAAGAACCGATCGGGAACAGGGACGTGTTGACAGAGCAAACGGATGCTAATGCTGAGGAAGAGATACCGTATGGCCAAGACGAAGCCGATTCATTCACAGCAGTGCCGTTTGCTCAGGAAGCCGAAAACATAGATCCAACAACTATCGCCTCGGTTGTTGAGGTAGCTCCCACTGAAGACGCCCAGTCTACTGCACCTGTTGACGAAAGAACCAACGAAAATAGTGAGAGTGCCACAACATACTCACCAATTGTAAATTCAAATGGAGACGGGCCCAGCGTACAGGTCATCAAGGAAGTCAATGAAGGGAACACAGCAGAACAAAATAAATCAGAAAATGATCACGCTAGCACTTCAGCGAGCCCAGCAAAGGAAACGACTGAAGCTGCTGTGTTCGAAGAGCCAGATACCAATGACAGCGATCTGTCATCAACGGGTCCACAAGGTAGCACAACGCCTGCACCATCAACTGCACCAGATGAAGACACCCAGTCTGTCGCTGCAGACAATGCACCTATCGGAACCACGCCAGCGGCAGCGACTTCGGAGGAACCCGACTCAGCGTCCCAGGATATAAACAACTCCACCGCCGCTCAGTCTAGCAACCACGATTCGATGGTCATGGTTGGGGATGGGGATGTCATGAACATCACGTCGATTGCAGGTCCCGGCTCCTCAGTCTCATCCAAGGAGGAATCAGATGGTGCTGTGACAGTGACGACTGGACACGCTGTCTTTCGGCAACCATCGGCTGGATCCACTGGACCGAACGTGTTGAAAAACGTTCAGGGAACACTGGAGGCCATCTCACACTTCCAGGCTCCGTTACGCTCTATGATCATCAAGCAGCTTGGCTCGAAATTCGCCCGACTCACCACTGTGTTCCGTCGTCTTGACCTCTCAGATCCCCTGCCTGAAATATCCACCATCGTATCTGAGGCTCTCTCCAGCGTCCGCGTTCAGCACCTTCGCTCACCAACCAAACGAGCCACCTCCATGGAGAGGGACGCTCTTCAGCTGAGTGTCAACGGCGTCCGTGTCGATGTCAACGTCTCAAGCAGACCGGAGTTCGTGCAGCACGGTCCCACGATTGTCAACCATGTGAGCGTCGATGGACGCAACATGTACGTCCAGCTTCACCTTCACTTCCGCAACGTAAGCGTTCCCCTGAACTACAGCGTCAGCGCCGACCTCTTCCCACCCTTCTTCTCCATACGGCGTCCCAGCGGCGAGGCGCACGTGGATATGGAAGAAGTTCTTGTGCCGCTGCGGATACCCTTCAGACTGATCTTCCAGAAGAATGAAGGCGAGGCTACTACGGCGGGCATTCTGGTACCGGAGGATTTTGTCACTCACGGGGCGAGCATGCTAAACGTTTCTACACATTTCGCCGACTGCGGGGAGAGAGACTTCATGGAGAAGGAGGTCCTCAGGTAAGATAGTGCAAGAATGTACACGATTAAAGCTCTCGTGAATTCTGCTACGCTGTTTGCTCTTCAGATATGTATATGAACATTGCGTTTCTATTTGCTATTAATTCCGATACATCTGTGATCGTGACTAATAATGTGCGATGATAAGACTAAATGATCCAGTACCACCAGCATTTGACGCCATGCCGTTCAAATTATAGTTCAAAGGGCAAAATTATCATATTCCATGAGCAAAACAATTATGGGCAAGGCAATGCAGCTGGTATGTACAAATAATACTCTGCATGCCTCCGCGTCTATCGACCTCTTCTGCAGCTATAATAGGCGGCTATATTTCAGATTCGACGAGCATCTGAAGAGCGGACTGGAACACTGGCTGAGTCACGAACCTCTGACCTCGCTGACCGACACACTGCGAGGTCACCTACTGGCCGCCTCTCGCCAGCCGGCCACCATGGGTCTGTCCAGAGGGAGCCGCGACCAGGTCACCCTGACCACCAACGACATGGGTGCCGCGGGCACCAACAACACGGGCAGCGTGGCCACAGACGACCAGGGTTCCCTAACCACCGACAACCAGGGTCCTTCAACTACCGACGATCAGGGTACCGTGATCACCAACGACATGGGTAGCCTGCCCACCGATGACCAGGACACCCTGGTAGTCGAAGAGGAGCCGAGACGCCCGGGCGTGAGCGATGGGGACATGGAAGACCATCCAATGGACGAAAGCAACATCTATGGAGAACAAGATGCAGTCCCGTTCGGCATTGGAGATTAGAGAAGCAGCTCTGCTTTACCGCTTTGAGAGGTTCCAAGGCATGTATAAAACCATGATGCAGGATGAGTATGATGTTGATGTGCTTGCTGCTCTGCTAGTTGATATGGTGTTACGACTCTTCTAAGCAAGGGGGTTGATGGAATGATGCAATCTAGTTGCAGTGTTCTGAATTAGGAAGGAAGATGTGGTGTTTGCTTGGGCCGTTGCAGCGGCGTTTTTAGTTTTATATGATAACTAGAGGCTCGGCAATGGCATATATAAAAAATCATAACAAGTGCTTTCATCATGCTTGGATAGACTGTTAGCCCTATTGTACGGTCAATACAGTTAATGGATATAGAATCAATGTTGATTGTTGAACCTTGGTGGCAGGGATGTAATCCTCTTTTCGACCCCCCCCCCCCCATCTCCCCACCGGAAGTCTCGAGATCTATACTGCATTGATTTTCAAAATTCAAACGCCAGTCGATAGCTCTTTACCTGATCAACGAGATGAAGAAATTTGCACTGGCCTCCATTGAATTTAGCTTCATTGGCATTGGGTGCTGGTCACAGCTTAAGCGTTGTACTTATATGAGCGTGTTACCTAAGTGTTAGAAAGTACTAGGTATGTGAATCGTCCGATGAGTGAAAACACCGTTAAACCAATTTACTAGATAATTCACAATTCACGTCATAAATATTAAATAAACAATTCACTTCACTTTCTGACGACATTTGAGGAGAGTGCCCGATAGTGGTAACGTAAGACCTCTTTACAGATTTTTCCGACCCTCACGGTCCTGTTTGCGGGCATTTGAATGCTGCCAGCCTGCCGCGGTGTCAGCTCAAAGTGGAATCATGCCCGTAATACGACGGGATGCTATCCCCTTGCCACAAACAGCTCGTTTCATCCGGCTTCTGAGCCCGTCGCGCTTATTTCACAGCTCACGTCGCTGCTGGTCCCGGCGAGAGCAAACAAGGGATGTAAGCGCTCTGAGATGACCTAGCGCGTGCCCTGCGGCAAAATCGTCGCCACCGACACCGCCGCGCGCCGGCGCACCATCTCGAACGAGGGCACGTCGGAGGCGTAGCTTGCCGCAGCGCGGCCATTTATTTAATTACGGCGGCCACCTCCCGACTCGACGGAGACATTTCCGGAGAACGAACGGGCCGGGCCGTCCGAGACAGACGGCCAGATCAAAGTCACCGCGGCACAAACAGATCCACCGTCGACGACGACACCCGGCCGTCTCTGCCGACGCGGCCCGGCCGGCCCCGTCGCGGCGGCGGAAACAAAGGGAGCGCAATCCGTTCGGGCTGACTGGGGCCGTGAGACAAAGGGCCCACCCGGATTATTAACGTCCGCTGCTGGACATCGGGCGTTATCTGTGGAGCATCGGGACCGGCAACAAATTGCAGCGGTGTCCAGATGGATATTGGCCCGCTCCATAGGGGGGGGGGGGGGGTTCCAAACAACCGAGATCGGATCCCGATCGGTCGCCGGTCAGAGAGGAAAACATCGCCATTTGTATGGCCGCAGTCTCCGGGTGTCATGTGGGTAAATAAACTGTTCGCCACAGATGGCCCGATCGAGCTAGTGAAGAAGGTAGCTCTAACATCCCGGGGGCAAGTTTTTTTTTTTTAGTGGGAAAACACGGGTGTTTTCTTTGAAGATAACTACCCAGAATAGGCGAATGAATGGGGTTGTCAATGAAAAAGGTAGCGCTTATTCAGAAAATGTGCATGTCAGATACCAGATCACTTTATAGCAATATACCTACCTTTAATTAGCCGTTACTTCTGTGTGGACTGTCAGAAATGGGACATAGAGCCACTTTAGTTATACAACATTCTGCATGCAGCTAGCGAAACATCTATGTTGAGTCAACTATATAGTTATGTTTATGCATAGGCCTATGCACCCTAGTATGCAGTGGCTTATCGCTTAGAAAACAAAAACAAACTCGACCTTGGCGTTGTTCAAATGACAACAGTGCCTTGACATTGACAAAACTAAAATTACTGTTCTGGCTTATTGATTTTGCTTACAAAATGATAAAAATATGTATTACCAGGACGTAACATTCAATTCTGGCTATTATACTTTCCAGTGCGTCTTGAGAGACCCACAACAAAGCAGCAGCTCCTTTCCTTTTCGGGGCTGTACCGGCCCAGTTAGTTCGAGCCTGTACGCGCTGACGGTTTTCCGGGTCGTTCCAAATTTTCATAACAGAGCACCGTACAAACGGCGGCGCCCGTTGCGCGTGCGAGCCGGCTTTATCCCATTATTTATGTCAGTGGTGTTCTTTGAGCGGGCGCTCGGCTGCCAGTGGCGACGGCGTCTCGGTGCCAGCGGCGGACGCTTTTCAGCGGGCCCCTAACAATAGTGTCTGGATTATTCTGCTCCAGGTGGGGTCTTGACCCCTTCTGGTGGCGCCCGGTCCATTCTTCCCGCCCCGTCGGCTGTCATTATTCCCCCTGGGCTCTGCGGCAGAGCGGCCGGTGGCAGCGGCTGCCCCGACCGCCGCCGGCTGGCTGTCCGCTCCAATCTCAGTGAGGTTCCCGCGCCGCCGCCGGCCGCCGGAAGCCCGTCTAGACAATGGGACGTCGGCTGAGGGCCCGGGGCTCATGTCGCGCCCAGCGACGGCGGCGGTGTACTACCGATGGCCCGTCAATGGGGAGACTCCGATCACAGCGGTAAAGTGGACGGCTCCCGGTGCTCCAAGGGTTATTGTGATACAAATGGCTCTATCATAGCGATGGTGAAGTCCCCCATGGTGCTTCACTGCGTGGAATACAAACCTGGGGGCATTATGATTATGATATGTGAATGGTTATCGATTGTCATTCGAGCGAAATGTTTGGTGGTCTAGTTAGGGCTCAAGTGCCTTTTTTTTTGCACTTTGATTTGTAAGGAATATTAGCGATGCATTAATTAACTAAAGGCACTAGAGAGGGCAGGCATTTTTTTTACACGTTCTATGTGCATTGCCACTTATCGATAGCGCATGCCTAAAACAGGATACACAGAGGCATCGCTGCTGAGGCATCGCTGCTCCAATGCCTGTCTCATACGCACGTTTGTTCAAATCTGCAACGGGGATATACCCAATTACGTGAGTGTTTTTCTGCATTTTTAATGTAAACACCGCGTTCTCTATTTTACCAGTGAATAATTTCCCACAATAAGAGCCAGCCTTCCAACAGCAGCGACGGACAATAGCGTCTGTCAATATCGGCCAACGGTCTCATTCCCCCGTGGCTAAAGAGCGCGTCATGTCCGTAACCGCACTGTCAGACCCATAAGCCACGAGCGCGCCGAAAAACGGTGACCTGTTGGGTTTTTATCGGTCGTTCCGTGACATAATACACCCATTACCCGTTACGGCACCCACGCCCCACCAGCCGCGGACAATACTCACGTACAGCTCGTAAAGCGAAGCCGTCATCTGTGTTGGACATTGGCGCCGCCCGTTGTCACTGGGAGCCCTATACCGTCAGTAGCGGCCATGGCGAGCACAGCAGCGGTGGGGAGACTGCCTGCCCGGCGGCACACGACCGCAGGCTGTGTGCAGGGGAGATACATTGGGGCGTATTGAACGGCCTCGCACGGGTCGGACGTTGAACCTGGCCGTTTCTTACTGTCGTTTTTTCGCCGTCTGACTGGTTTCTTCTAATCAGTGCCTGGACGCGTATAGGAAATGGGCGGGGACTTTTTACGCTCAGTTTTTACCCGACAAGAGCTTTTTTTGCGCGCAGGTTTTGCACGCGCAGTGCGGTGTTCCCGTCGGTCGGTCTAATTCTCGCACGACGCAGCTGATGTGTGCCGAGATTGTTCGTGCAACTCGGGTGACAAAAAAGCTGATAAAAAGCCACTGTCCGTTCTCGCACCATCGCGTTCAGATGGACAGAAACAACGGAATCAAAAGAGAATCATTTTGTCCTTTGTGCGGCTACCCATGATCCATTAGCGGTATCGAAAGAACTGAATAATAGCATTATTTCGGCAAAAACCTGTCGACGTTGGACGTTGTGTTTCTGGCCGCCTGAATGACCAGGCAACAGCCACACCATGGGCACATGTTTCTTTGTAACCCAATTAGCTTTGTCTGTGTGTGTATGTAAAAATAGCCGCACTGCGTGGCCAATGACCAGAATATATGCTGCTGCAAGTGTGTTTTTTTTTTCTATTGTTTTGTTTCCTAATGAAACTGGTTCTCTGGTTTAAATATTTTGAAACGTTTTGGTGGTTTCTTCATCATTATGGCAATCAACATGCTCAGTTGGTACGATGCATCACAATTAAATAGTTGATTGTAATCCAAGCTTTAAAACAATTACTTACTTTCAGCTACATTGGATGCTTTTGATTTCTTTAGTTCTCTAGGCCGTTAATAAATCGTTTACAGAAATCGAATGTCACTTCCACAGTTCCAAGAAATCCGTTTAACTGTTACCACTTCCACAACCTTCTAGCCGGATTCAAACTGCTTCGAATCCCATACAATCGCCTTATCTTTGCCTATCTATTCACCTAATTATCTCGTAAATCCGTGCATCCCGCTCGATTCCGCCATCACGACAGTCAGTGACAACAACCACTCACGGTCCAGACCCACGCGTCTGGTCACTGTTCTCGGGCCGGTCACACGGCCAGCGCGGCGCGCTCGTCGCCACGCGGCAATTACGGCGCAGCTGACATCCTGCCTGCGCCGTGATCGCCGGCCCTGCGCCATCAGTCAAATTTATCCGGCCCGCACTCTCGGCGTCGCCGCCGCTTCCTGCGTGGCACTCCAGATTTTAGTGTTATTGTTATTACCGCTGGCCGTGGGAAGACGGCGGCGGCGCGGCGGTGGCGAGTAGTGACGCACCGCGCCGCGGACGCCGCACGGGGTCGAGGACACGCGCGCCAGAATCGCCGGCGCCGCTGGTGATGCGCCAGTTTCGCCGAAAGGGTGTATTAGCCGCCAGACGGGGTAATTTTAGTAACTCGCTGAAATATGGGGAGAGTGGCAAGAAGTGCTTCCGTTTATGGGCAGAAATACGAATTACTGGCTCAAACTCTCTCGGAAGCGGTGGATGAACGTGTTTAAAGGATTTGTGATGTCATCACCGCACTTTTTATGTTTCCCATGCTCCATATAGTAACGCCGATGACTCATGATTTCGACTTCGTGAAAACCTACTCCAGATTCTCTGACAATGCACAGCATAATCTCATTAAATTACCACGACAATCACCTTAGACACGATTTGAGAGCTATTCCTTTGACGATTTGAGAGCATGATCCTACAATGTGATCAATCATATACGGTTTGGGCGATGTTATCCGTCCCTGCAAATTCGGCTTGTAGAGCGGCGTC